ACAACCTCTAGGTGATTGATCATCCTCCCAAACTTCTCATATTCTGCCTTCATAGCTGCTAACTGCTCACTAGACGTCATCTCTTTAGTTTGGTACCTATCACTATCTGGACCAACAACAACATTGGCACTCCCTGAAACCGAAGTGGTAGGAGCTCAGGATGCAATTTCCAGCACTTGTCTTTAGTGTGTTTTGGCCTTTTACAGTACTCATAGATAATCTCTTTCTTCTCTAAGATACTTGGAGTCCCTGCAATACCCTTGGGTTTCACTCCCATATTAGCAAAGTGATCATTTAGACCAGCCCCTTGGACCTAGACAAGTCTTTTGCTTTCTTCACTACTTACCAAGGCATATGCTTGAGATAGTGAGACACTATCCTTGGATAAAATATTTTGCTTTGTAATGTCATACTCTAGATTTAGCCCTGTCAAGAACTCAAACACCCTGTTTATCTCAACCAATTTTCTATAGGTCTCAGCATCCTTAGTGGTGTCCTAGACTACAACTTCTATCAAATCTATTTCTTGTCATAAAGACTTCAGTGTTAAAAAGTATACAGCTAATGGTTTCTCCCCCTGTCTCAAATTGTTCACATCACTTATCAACTTGTAAACCCTGGCTACATTTAATTTTTGGGAATATGTTTCAACAACACTATCTCAAATTTCCTTTGTTGAATTCATCCACAAATAGTGCTGACTAATCTGTGGTTGCATTGATTTCACAAACCATCCAATAACAATATAATTTTCTTGCATCCACTTTTTATATGATGGATCATCTTCCGGAGAAGCCTTTTTGCTCCCGGAGATAAAACCCCATTTGCCTCTACTACAAATATGAATTTTTACTGATTGTGACCAAGCCAGATAATTAGCTCCATCCAACTTGACTATGGTAATAGCCAGTAGAGAGTCTACAGAGGCTCCCGGAAGTTGTCCAGATTCAACAACATGCTTGTTTTCAAAGTATGAGGAGTTCATCTTCTTAAATACTTAAAAAATGACTTCAAACAACTTCGAATAACAACAAATGAAGACAGACCAAAAACTGTGTTGTGAGCCAACCTCTATGCAGCCGCACCAATAACCTGTATCACATCCGGAAGCTGGGAGAAACAAAGAAAACTGAGCCGCTCCTTGTAGACTTCACAGAACACCAATCCACTTGATTTGATCTTCAAGAAGAAGAATGAGAAAGCCTTCAGTCACTGAGCACCCAGGTCAAACTTCTTATGGGGCCTGCAATCAGATTTCTCCAGAAAATTAGGATTTTGGGCAACACACTTGAATCTGTCAAGAGGACGACAATACCAGTCCCCTTCTCTCCAGAAACCACTAATAACTGGGCTGAAATATGTTTCTTTAGCTATTCATACGATTCAGTTCTCCATACACATTATGTATGGGAAAAAATGTGAAAAAAAAAGGGAAAAATGAGCGTGCTCTGATACCAAGAAGAAAAGCAGTCTTTTGAGAAGAAATGACTGTTTTGAAAGTTGCAAAAATTCAAAAGAAAGTAGTAGAAATCAGAGTTCAAGAGGAGAGAAGAAGAAGAAGAAGAAGAAGGTGGCGACAACTTGGGTTCAGAGAGAGAGAGATTTTGGAACATAATTCCTTCTCTTACTCCCTTAATTCTATTTCATTAAGTTAAACTTTAATAATTTACAAAGAAACCCCTAGTTGGGCAAAAAATTAAAAAGACATAACATAAGAAAGAATAAAGCTCAGATTAAGGCCCATTACAGCAAARAACATAAAAGATAAAAAGGATAAATAGCCTATGGGCCATTCGGCCCATCTTCTCTACAAACACTTTCATCTATTTAGAACTCCTTTTTACTTATATTATGTCATCACTAAATTCTCATGGTCTTTGCAAGTGTTACATCTTCATTGTTTAGCATAAGTGATAGATATTTTCTTGTTTAACCTAATGGGTAGAAATTGTCATTTATTTTATTTACCATTTGACGTTCTCTACCATCTTGTTGAGTGCTTAATGTACATTATGTGTTAGCATAAACAATTTTGAATCCTTGCATGATTCTCCATTTTACCTAATTTGTGTGCAACCTTTCATTAGTTTAAGCCCAAAGTTATTAAATTTTTCTTGAAATATTGGTGAAGTAGAGGCTGCTTCAATTGGGTGTACCTAACACCTTCCCACACCGTACCTTAGTCCTTGGACCTTAAGAATATCATTTCCATTGGGCAACGAGTCACCAAATAAACAAAAATGTTTTTTTTGAAAAATCCTTAGTTTTTCTAAATTCCCATTTCCCAAAAATTTAGGTGGCGACACCATATTCCACCCGTCCCCCCTCCGGGTAGGGTAGCCACAGTGTGCAATAAGTTTTGAAGTTTTATAATTTTTTTTTTTTTAACTCCAAACTTTACTCCCGATGGAGGGGAGGAAGTTTTATAAGTAATCTTTAATTTATGTGTGAATATGTACATTCTACCTTAATGATGGGTAATAAGGGTGTTGTTGTAATTCCAATGCCTTTGTTACGGGAGATTTAACAAAGTGATCTATTTACACATTTATCAAAAATGTTGTGGGAGTTTTTGAAACTATAGGGGAGACTTAAGTAATTTAGCCTTTATTGTGAAAATAAAACTGACCGATAGAGGGGTTGACCGCCAAAAAAAAGGCATGGTAATAAATTGACAGCATGGCATCCATCTGCACATAGGAAACACCTCTCATACTTATATGTTACATTCATGCGGAGATAGTCTTAATGTGCAGTTGGATGCTTAACATGCTTTTATGGCCAAGCCAATTTAGATTTAGAGTAGGATTGCAAATGGATGAGATGGAATTCAGATTGGAGTATATCCATAGTTGCACCTTATTTTCTCAAGAAAGAGAAAAAAGTATGAACTAATGATTATGCTTCCTTCCTTAGACATATGTCTACATACTCAAAAAAAAAAAAAAAGCAGATCTTCAAATGGTAGTTACCTCCTCTCAAAAAGGTTAGTGGTGGTTACTTTCACAAAAGAAAAGAAAAACTCATTTAATAAAAAACATGAGAACACTGGCCTAGGGTCATTCTCTAGTAAAACTACAAAAGAAACTAGCAAGTTACCACTCCTTCAGATTAAGAGAGAACCAAGTCTTTTTACTAAAGTCTAATATCATGATTTTTGAAAAGGGATCTCAAATACTCAATCTGATTAGTGGCTTCTCATTCCCATGGAGATTCAAGATGGACACTTGAACATAATTAAAAACCAGGAACTTGGTTACTTGTGTTGCCTAGTGATGGTGCTCTGCAAATGGGTGTCCTACTGAGTTAGTTTAATGATGATCTGAGATCTAATTTCACAAAAAAGAAAGAAAGGTACAAAGAGAGAGAAAGAAAAAAAAAAAGGACTAACATCTTCCCTTATAGGTAAGGGTGCATGCAATCAAGCCAAGCTGAACCAAACTTCAACATGTTTTGGCTCAGTTCGACTAAAATACTACTAGCTTCATGTTCGAGTTTGAATTCAATTCGAACTATATTTTTCGGTTTGAGCTTGATTTGATTAAACTTGAGTTTGACCTGAAAGCTTGAAAATGAATATAATTTTATAATATAATATATTCTTATATTATATATAGAACATAAAAATATATATTAATATTCTATAATATATAATATATGCATGTATTTATATATGAAAATATATGTTAATCAAGTCAGGCTCACGAGATTTCAAACCAAACTTTTTATTGATTGAGCTGAGTTAGAATAATTAATTGAGCTTACCCCGAGGTTCGAAATTGAATTGACCCAAATCGTACTTGAACCTGAACTATTCAATTAAAACTCAATCCAATTGTAGCTCTACTTATAGGTCGGTTGCAACACTGGCAAGCAATGACAGGATTAGGGAATTGATTGTAAAAATTACTGAAAGAGATAATGTCCAATTATTCACACTTGCATGTTATGCACTGAAGATAGGATTTGTTTTTTTCACTATGGGGGCGTTCATTTTTTAGGATTTTGAGAAAGGGGAAAGTTGGTGAATGTGATTTTGGTTTCCATTGACCAAGAATTTCATGTTCTTTTTTCAGAATTATGTGGGGACTAGGGAAAGTTTATTTTCTTGGGTAYCACTTACACGGGTAAGTGATAACATCTCCTACGTGGATAAATAACTTCCCACTAGGGGGAAAGTTGCCAACACTTGAATAAGACAAAAATGCCCTTTTTAATAATGGATGGCTAACATGGTCATTGTCTTATTTACCTGGGAAATAAAAGAACATGGGTGAATGCACTTACCTGAAAAAGTGTTTCTTAGGAAAAACTTACCCAGATAATTGCATTTAACTGGGTAAATATCTTACCGAAAAGAGAAAAGGGCCTAAAAGACAAAACAATAAGCTTTTTCTCATCCACTTCAGTCAAACGACCCTAATGCTTAGTTTGAAAAGAGTATGAATACAAATATGTRAAGTACAAATACATACAAAATAATACAAAGTACAAGCTTTTGAACACTACATATTTGCATTTGTACTCCTTCCAAACTGAGCCTAAGTAATTTGATCAAATCAAATTATGTGTAGGATCGGACAGGCACTTCACAACTGCAACCTCGTAAAGATAGAGACTCGATCCAATCTGAAATGATTATTTATTGTTCTATACTGCCTTCATCCCAATCAGATCCAACTCTGACCCGTTAATTTCTAGTTTGTAAATTTTTAAAATTGTTTCGGTTTAGGTAGCCCAAATCTTGTTTCAGGCTTGCAGCTGATACTATGATCTGTTCTTTTTGGCTCCAAAGTTGACGAGGTGTTAAAATGAGTACGGAGAAGACTTACGGAGTGCTCAGAGCTCAACCATATTTCTGAAAATGAACAAAATGCCCTTGGATCTTTCATTCTTTCTCTTTACACTACATTTCCTATGCTTGTATTCAGTTTACAGAATTTCCAATGCATGAATGTCTTTTCTCTTCCCTTAAATCGGTGAAGAAAGAATGTGTACACTGTTCTATCTATCTATATTACAGGCTACAAAGCACATCCCTACACCATCTCTTTCAAGACTCTCTATCCTTGAACAATTCTCTGAATTCTGTGTGGTTGACAGAGGTCGGCTCCCTGAGAAGAAGAATAACCAACAATTATGACTTCCAAACATTCTTAACTTATAGAGAAACATTGGTGATGTTCGAATTCATTTGTTCCACATTATTGGTTTCTTCACCGTATAACCGGCTGTTGAGAAGTTCCATGACATTATCTGGTGGACATTTATCAGCAGGATTCTGTGCTGACATTTGGCAAAAACACTCTGGCCATGAATTTGTGTAGAAAGACTCAGGTTGAATCCGCTTATGGGGGCCACCAAATTTTGAATTGAATATCACACGCCTGACAGCTGCTTCAAAACCGGCAGTCCGACCATTTTCTCGATCAATTAAGATTGGAGCAAGAGCTTTCCTGTCAGGTTGGATTGTGGTCCGGAAGCCATAGTATAGGCGATGACCCATGAGATTGTTTGCAAAATTGCTTGGGCCATCATATGTGGGCATGAAAATGTTTGAGAGGAGACAAACCATATAATCAACAGCAGATCCCAACAGTCCCCGGGTGTTCTCTGCCAGTTCATCTGCAGGGCCCACCGTGCTGTGGTTCTCAAGGTGAGGGAACAGGGACCTTAAAGGTTTCATGTAACGTTCTCCACCAAAAATGTCACCTGCTGCAAGGTATATCCGGGTAGAATTGTCAAATCCCATGGCACGCAAGATGAGGCCAACCTGCAAGGAAAGCCATCACAGTCCGATTTGTTAAAGAAATATTGAAGTTCTACGATTGGAACAACAGTTGATTACTGAAAATAAATATCGGGCCAAGGCATGCTTCCAACAATTGATGATAAAATCCCTGCAGCATAAACACCGGTACCTAGAGTAGATGAACAAAACAAGTCTACTAGTCTGTTACCAAAAAACATCTATTAGTGACATCATAGTTATTGAATCTGACAAAGAATATGGCACTGAACAGAATAGAATGGCAAAACAGGATTCATATAGCTGTCCCATATAGTCAGGAGAAGGCTTAGATGGTGGTGATGATGATGATGATGTTGATAGTTATTGAATTTAGCTAAGCAAATTTTAGATATCAACTTTAGAGAGTCAATTTGACTGTATTGCATCAAAATCCGAAGGCGTTATTCATTAACTTATGGTCAAGTAAGAGATTCAATTATAACATCTTGGATGTCACTCGAAAATTTCAAATGATTCATASTATGGTGACCTCTATATACCACAACTATTTCAACTGTATTGTTTAGGCCAAGGTTTCAAGTATCATATAAGATATTGGGGTTATAGGCATGTTACATGGATGGGAAATACAAACATGTGTATCAGTTATGTATCTGTGCTCTAGTTTAAATTGTTAAATTCAAATTACTCCCATTAACTCAAGCTATTAAGTTCCTATATTAACTCAATCTAGTCATTTTCCCGCATTAACTCATGCTAATTACTCCCATGCTATAAAAATTATATGCAGTTGTTAATAATCAAACTCAGGTCATTTGCATTAGAAGAAGTTTTACACTTCTATGCTACAACTTGTAACTTTCTGTTAATATTATATATCAACAAGAACATTAAGAAGAAAGAAACTAATTAAGGGGTGTTTTGTACTGTGGATGAGAAATTGTGTAGTGTGAACTAATCCACTGGACGACATTGTGGTTGTGGTATAGTTGAAAGCACACCACACCTTTGTAAGTGTTATGCACTATGGTGTGGATGCCTTCTAAGCAAAAAAAAAATCTTGGTCATTTATCGCAAAAGTTTATAAAAATGTTTGAATATATTGGGGTGAGATGCAAGGTGTCCCACTACCCGGAGGCATGAGGTATATAGTTCAGAACTAAGACACATAAGCCTCCCGAACCTCCCCAACATAAGGAGGCTTTATGCCTCCTTAAGAGGAGGGGGATGAGGTGTAAGACAACAAGGATAAGGATGACTTAGGGTCTTAGAAGCACGAAGGAAGATGTCACCAAGGAGAATGAGGAGTAGGACTTAGCTTCGAGTGGAATGAGAATCGGATTCCCTTTACAAGGGATGTTCTCCTTATTTATAGAAGTAACGAAGCAAAACTACATGCATGAAGTAAGAATTCTACAATATTCCTTAATTCGAGTTGTCCCTAGAGATAGATTTCATAGGTTTCTCCCTTCGAGACACATGTCTCTCAGGACCACCAGGTTGTTAGAGCACGATCTCGGATCTCCTTAAGAGGTGACACGTGGCAATACAACACCCACGTACAGCTAGTTGTGGTTTCCCTGAGGTACCAATCACGCATCTGACACCCTCAACAAGACCTTCACCACACTCAGGCATTGACCCATTAGTAGTTACCTTGCCTCGCAAGACATACACATATATTTGATTTTGAACACCTCATGAGATCAGTGGGACAGATGCGGCTTCATGAGGCAAGATAGCTTACTCTTGTGAGGTAGGACTATTATGACCTTGCAACGCGATTTGCAAAGTTGAGGTTTTGTGATGTTGCAAGGCAACTTGCAAGGTGAAAAATACTGATCCAGTGAGGCAACTCGCGGAGTTAGACCGATATAACCTTGCAAGGCAACTCATGAGGCAATGTCGGGAACTTGCCTGTGACTTTGCAAGGCTAAATCAACTCAATTTCACTTCTGTGCTTCACTGTTATGCTGCGAGACCTTCATTTCGTTATTTGCTCTAGGTCTCGTAACACATATCAGTGGAGTTTTTACTTCTTTCCCTTTAATATATATTCCTGTCTTATAGGAAGAGGAGGGGGAGGAGGAAGAAAAGGGATGGGGATTTTTAACACTAGTTGAAAGGACAAAGCCCCCCAACCAAGGGGGTGTAAGGGCACTATTATGCCACAAGGCCTTCATTTCGTTATTTGCTCTGGCTCTCATCACACATATCAGAGAAGTTTTACTTCCTTACCCTTGAATATATGTTCAATGTCTTATGGGAGAAGGGGGAGGAGAAAGAACAGGGAGGAGGAGTTTTAATACTAGTTGAAAGGGCCCCACAGCCAAGGAGGCCTCTCTGCCCTTGGCCCAAACCTTCTTTCCCCTTCTCTTTCCTTCCCTTCCATTCCCTTTTCTTTTCTTTCTTTACTGTTTTTTCTTTTTCTTTTCTTTTCCATTCTTTTTTTTCTTTTTCTGTCTTTTTATGTGAGTTGTTTGTGAGATGCACAAGGCATAAGCCTCTAGCACGCCTCATGTAAAAGGTGTACGAGGCATACACCTCTTGCACCTGAGGCGTACGCCTCAGAAGACATCAGCACCTCTAGCATACACCTCGGGGCATTTTGGAGGCACCTTGCCTGGAGGCATGCCTCCAAGCATACGCCTCAGAGGAATCAACACCTCTGGCATATTTGGGGGTGCCTTGCATAGAGGTACACATCCAGGTGACACCTCCCATGCCTTTTAAAACATTGAGTGAGAAATTATGAGATAGTATGGACTGATCCATGGTACAGTCTCGAAGAATGCCAATAAAGGCGTGAAGTGGACCATAGCGAGCCATGCATGGCTTCAACCACAGTACCAAGCAAATTAGTAATTGCTTAAGCATTAATGAGATTTGTATTGGTTTCTTATGGTATGCATACATATTTTAATTCTTCTATTCAAACATTTCCCAGATGTATTCTGGTAGTTCACACTTCACATAAACTATTAACATGTATGTTTCTTATGTTTTTAAACCTTATTTATGGTCCTTTGAGCCCTAAGTTTAGTGATGCATTTTGACGATTTATTTTTCCCTAGCATATCTGCACATATCTTAATATGTCCACTGTATCTATGTTTTCCCATAGCTTATTCTGACACTTCACTTGATATTGCCTTTTGGATAATATTTGTGATACTGATACTTTCAACTTCAGTTTAGACACCCGAAATGTAAGACAGGTTAGAGGAAAGCACATAAATAAGTACCAGAAGCATGATCCCAGTCAACAAAACTACAAGGTAAAATCCAAAATATCTGTTGTTTTATAGCATTATTGACATGTAGCTTTAGATTTCTGATCCAAAAACAGAAGCTTAATCAACAACAAAAAGAAATTATCCAGTGTTTATCTTCTATAAGCAGAGTTAGCTTCAGTTTGTAGTAGCATAACAAAATTTCTTGGAAAGAGAATTGCAGGAGGATAATATGCAAGATAATTTACCTCTTCAGGAGTTAATGGGCATTTTCCAATTGCCCTTCTTTGACTATAGACAAGTTCTTTTGGTGCAAAATTGTCTTTTCTGTACTTCTTCAATATCTTCTGCTCTTCAGGGGTAAATATATCAAAGCACCTGTAATTTTTCAAATCAAATTAAGAGACCATTTGTATGTCATGATTGAAGCACTTATTCTTCAACAAACAAATTAGTCCTCTGAATCAAGGTAAAGAACAAATGGATATAAGCTTTTATTTGTGCAGGAATTACTTAACATAGCTCAAGAACTTCTTGAGAAAAGCATATGTTCCAATTCAACATCAAGCATGCAGCCACATAAATTAACCTAATTTCATAAAGTATTTCTCATCAGTATCAGATACATAGATGGGGTGACAGACTCACAAAGGCACAAACCTATAAAACCTCAGTATTTTGATAAATCTTTAGGTACTGTAAAGATAACAACTGGAGAAGAGTAAATCCTTGCAGATACTTCAGCAAGAAGATATTTCTAAACAGATTTATGCATTCTTCAAATTCCCTATCCAACAATAGTCTTCTAAATGTAGGATACCACATCTCTTGATGATTTCTGATGTCAAAACACTCACTAACTGCAATATCTTTGGCACTAATGCTAGTCCGAAGCATAAGTCGAAAAGATCTCCTAATCAACATCATTCATCTTACTAAAATCTTCATGCATCAAAAAAGAATCTTCTCAAAAATAAATTATTGAGCTACTATTTTGATAAATAAAATTAATTATTGAACTACCCCAACCAAAAGTTTAGTAAAGCCAGCAAATGGTTGGTAGAATTTCATAATACTTTTATCATCATCATCCAAGCCTTATCCCAACTATATGGGGTCAACAACATGAATCCTGTTTCACCGTTCTTTTATGTTTAATGCCATATTCATTGTTAAATTATGGGCATTTAAATCATTTCTAACAACTCCAACCCATGCCCTTTTTTGGTCTACCCCTAGCCCCTCTAGCCCCTTCAACTTGCAAGAAATTACTTCTTACAGGTTCTTTCAAATGACTTCATCTCTGATCCTATCCTTTCTAGCTTTTCCACTTGTCCATCTCAGCATATGCATTTTTTCCACTCTCATTTTCCAGACATGTTTACTTGTTTCTCGACAGCCCAACATTCTATTGCATACAACATAGCTGGCCTTATGATTGTTATATAAAATTTTCTTTCAATCCAAGTGGTATTCATCTATCACATAAGACTCGGGATGCACTCCTCCATTTTTCCCAAAACAAAAATCATAAGTTACTGAAATGAACTTGAAATCCCACACAAACCATGCAACCTCATATTTGTGAACCACCATTCTATACAAGGCCTCCTTTTAACAGAAACCTCCAAAGTTTATGGTTCTTCTAAAACCAACCAAGAGACACTTAAAGGAGCTATACTTTTGTTAACATTTACTAGCATAAGGAACCATGGATGAATCATCTTTACTTAACAGTAAAATGCAACAATTTTCAATATACCAATTACCTAAAGCATTTAAGACAGGAGGCCTGTTGGTAAACCAATAACAGAAAGAATGCAAACCAAACTCCTGCATGCATATGCGAATATTTTGCATGTACCAAAAAAACTTCATTTTGTTTGTGCTGTTTAGATTGTGTCTTATTAATAAAAAATATTAACAGAATTTACAAAGACAAAATGAAGTTATAACATACCCAGCAAATGCAAGCATATCCATCTCAAACCGAAGATGAATTGCCATGAAGGGCCCCTTTGCTCGGAGTTTATTGACAATAGCATTACTGAATTTCATAATATTTGGCTTAAACCTGAGGGCATGGTAATTCACTCTGCATCTCAACCGCTGGTATTCAGGGTTGTCAATCTCTTCTGCCAAACGATGTGAAAAGGGAGTGAGATAAATAGCACCATGTTCCTTCATCTTCTCTAGAGCAACTGTTGTATACCAATTGATTGGTGCATCTCTAGGGGGTCGAAGCTGCAATGAGAAGAGAAAAAAAACAGTTAAAAAACCACTTAACCTAGAACATATCTTCATTTCCATGGGCAAGACAAACTCAAATATCAACATCTAACCTGGTATGCTTTCAATTTCTTGGTCTTCCCATTTTTGTGAATTTCAGGAATGCTTTCCACAATCCGTACGTCATACTTTAGTGACAAAATGAAATGCTCAACATCATATATACCCTGGAAACCACTGGATGTAGGTTTCTGTCAAATTTAAACTCAGAAGAACAATCATAGAGGAGTATAATAGAATAATATACTTTCAGTAAACAGCCACAAGAACATCTACAGCATCATGCTTATGACATAGATTTATTGCCAAAATATATTGAGATCATTTTACTGGTAGTAAGATAACTAAGTTGTATCAAGTATCAAAAGGAAGATGTCTCTATCCTTGTCTTTCTTGACTTTAGTTTTGTAAACACAATAAGAGCATAAAGAATAAAAAAAAGTAAGAAGAAGAAGAAGAAGAAGAAGAGAAGAACAAGATGAGAGAAGAGTAAGAAAGAAATTTAGTTTGAAGAGAATCAAGTGTGAAGTGTAACCTCTATTCCATACTTGTAGCAATTGTTAAATACAATAAATTTTGACAGAAAGATGACCATATAGGAGAATAATAGAATGATATATTTTCAGTAAACAGCCACAAGATTGTCTACACAGCATCATGCTTATGATATAGCTTTGTTGCTGAATAATGTGAGATTATTTTATTGGCAGTAAGATAACTAAGTTGTATTAAGCATCAAAAGGAAGATGTCTCTATCATTGTCTTTCTTGATTTTAACTTTGTAAACATAATAAGAGGTTAAAGTATAAAAAAGTATGAAGAAGAAGAAGAAGAAGAAGACGATGAGAGAAGAGTAAGAAAGAAATCCAGTTTGAAGAGAGTCAAAAGTGTGAGGTGTCAGCATCTATTCCATACTTACAGCGATTGTTAAATACAATAAAATGATTAATTCACCCCTGGCTGCTCTCCCCTTATAAACTCATAAAGTCATTAGTAAATGAAATAAAAACAGAAAATTAACTACTCATTCTTCAATACTCCCCAAACTGAGCAAAGATGCTAGTCATGCCCAGATTTCTCAGAATACCATTCAGCTTTAGATTTTTCAAAATTCTTTACCAAACACATTCAGCAACTACTATTCTGTTTTCACAAATGGGAGCCAAACTTCACCAAACAAGATCTTCTCCCAAATAAAGTGGCAATCAACCTCAATATGCTCTGTCTTGTCATGCTGTACTGGGTTGATTGGTGCTATGCTTCAACTTGATTATCACAACACAGCACCAACAGATTATTAATCTATACTTATTAACTAATCCAGGAGTGATCATAACCATAGAACCTCACACACCAATGGAGTATTACTCTTCCATGAAATCAGATTTCCACCCTTGAAAGTGCAGTAACTAGAATCAACCTCCTATCGTCTACAGGCCCTGCTTAATCAGCACAAATATACACCTCTACCTTCATGTGACCATAACCTAAATAAAGTACTTATATCTAGATTTCATTTCAGGTAAGTGAGGACTCTCTACTGCTATGACATAAGTACTATGAGTTTGTCTAGTCTTTATTTAGTTAAATTTCAAGTTGCATAGACAGAAGTTCAATCATGAACACTTTTTATTACCGCATGCCATGTCTTATTTGAATAAAGTGGGAATCTCTAAAACCATTTACAAAAAAGTGACGAGTTATCACCCGCCAGTTTCCCAGCCCCAACCTCCATCTTGTGTCCTTTTATTTACAATTTTCTAGTTGATAAGATACTCTTTTGGTCTCACCTACTTCCCAGAAGATGTCACTATAATTCTATCTAGTCTTTTTGCTATCACTTGCAGGGTTTCAAAAATAAAAAGAAACTAAACCACCAAATTTGCAAGGGTTGATTTGATCATCCAACAAGATGTAATTTCTCTTCTAAGAGTCAAGTTTTCTAGACAACCTATCCAAACCAAATACATCCAGGGTTGCTTCCTAAAGGTAATCCTAGATGGCTCGTGGGCCAAGACAATATAGGGCATCCTAATTCCCAACATATCTCTCTTCTTCTATCCTATGTTAACACCTATTACCTACTAAATAGCACTTTCCCAACTTTATTCACAAATTTGAGATTCTTTGAAAGCATAAAAGTAGGAGTTAGATTCCCAACTTCCCTTTCGTCAACATCCTTATAAAAGATGATAATGTTATCTGCAAATTACAAATGAGAGACCACAATGTCATCCATCAACACCCTCATACCTCTTATTAAGCCACAATTGTCTGTTCTAAAGTAGGCTAATGAATTCAGCTACTAGAATAAGGAGGAGTGGAGATAGAGGGTCACTTTGTCCAAGTCCTTTCTCAGCAAGGAAGAAACCTTTTTCTGAACCATTGACCAAAATTAAGTAATGGAAGGAGTCTGCACACCCTTTGATCCAACTCCTTCACTTTTCCCCAAACTCATTCATTTCTAACATGATTTCCAAAAAAGACCAATATACTAGGTTGTGGCTTTCTCCAAATCCAACTTACATGCCCAGCCTTTTCTCTCCCCAATTTATTCATCTCTTGGGCACACTCCAAGACACAATGGAGGTGAAGGCCATTTTGAGACCAAGTGAAAACACCTTAGCAATTATTTTATATAGGCCATCTATCATGCTTATTGGTCTAAAATCATTTCAATGGCTGGTTTCAGGTTTTTTTTTTTTTTTTTCAGAGGGGGATTAAGGTTATAAACCTTAATGATGATAAAGAGTTTTTTCTTTCCTCTTTCTTATCCTAGTCAAACAACTATAGTAGCCATCTAAGATCCAAATGAAACTTAAATTTGGGACTGCCATAGGATCTGGTTAAAAGACAACTAAGAAATTTCAGAAATTGCAACTTTTTCCTTGACATTTCTCCAGTTTCTCTTTCTAAAACCTGGCTGTTCTTCTTGGACCTTGTACCAAGACTTTTAAACCCCAACTCAATAAAAAAAAAAAACATAAAACCACCCTTTATATAACACTAACACAAAGAATTTCAGCCCAACATACCCCTTCAAACTCAAGTCTGAAATTTCAGACATTTCAAACCAGAACCTCAATCAAACCTAACTGGCTAAATCTAAACACTTCAAATCCTTTTCCAAAACACTGTACCATCCATAATCCCCAACCAAATCCTTTCAATTTCAAAAACCAGAAAGCTATCCAGCTGAACTTTCATTTTAAATATTATATTAGAGCCTCTTAATCTATTCAGTTCTACCCCTATAGAATGCCAATATATATTACCCAGATATGGCTGGGACATGGATCCAAAATATTTCAGATGTGGAATTTACATTAAAAATTGAAATATCTGACACAATAAAGCACCCTTATACAGGTATCACTTGGAAGATTGATGTAGCAGTCATAGGTTTAGTACGAAACCTATTCAGGAAAAAGAAAAGAAAAAGAACAGAGGAGAAAAAGAACAGATGGAGAAGAGAAGGAATGAGAGAGAGAGAGATAGAGAGAGGAAATGAATAGGTTCTGCCGCCCCCCTCATTGGCTTTCATATATGACTTAATAGCAAAATGTACAATGACAAAAATACCTCTGTTGACTGTGACAGAGAAAAACAAAAACAGAAGTCTGAAACAATCACAAATAAAGATGGGGAGCATATAACTGCATATAAAAACATATAAAAAACAAGTGTCCCTATCAACGTCTCTACACTCCCCCTCAAGTTGGGAGTAGATTTTGAGCATTCCCAACTTACGTAAATCTATCTCCATTCTGACTTTAGTGACTGCCTTGGTGAAGAGGTCCGCAAGCTGCAYATCAGAGGCAATATATGGCAAGCATACTTCTTGAGAGGCAACCCTCTCCCTAATAAAGCAATGATCCACCCCAATATGTTTTGTCTTCTCATGCTGTATTGGGTTATAGGCAATATTAATGACAGTTTGATTGCCACAATACAACATTAAAGGCTTCTCATGTTCAATTTCAAACTCTTCAAGTAAGGATCTCAACCAAAGTACTTCTACCACTCCATGAGCCATGGATCTGTATTCTGCTTCAGCACTTGAACGAGAAACTACAATTTGTTTCTTACTCCACCATGAAACCAAATTTCCTCCAACAAAGGCACAGTACCCGGAGGTAGACCTCTTGTCATCTACATATCCTACCCAATCCGCATCAGTGTACACCTCAATCTTCATATAACCATTATGTTTGAGATATACTAGAATTCTCTCAACAACCAACAAATGGGTGGTTCTTGGAGAATGTATGTACTAACTAACAACACTGACAACATAAGAAATGTTAGGCCGAGTCAGACAAAGATACAAAAGTTTCCCTACCAGCCGTTAATACATGGTCTTGTCATCAAGAGGCTCTTATGATTCAATTCAATGGGAGCATCTACAAGTTTAATCCCCAATTTTCCTGTTTCCTCCAAAAGGTCAAGGACATATTTCCTCTGAGAGACGAAAATACCATGTTTAGATCTAACCACCTCAATTCCTAGAAAATACCGGAGATGACCTAAATCTTTCACCTCAAACTCTTTATGAAGTAATTGTTTGAGGGAATTAATCTCATCAACATCATTGCTTGTTACCACAATATCATCCACATATACAGTAAGAAGTGTCAAGGAACTACTTCTCTTGATAAAAAGTGTATGGTCTGAGTAGGCCTGTGCATAGCCAAATTTCTCTAAAGCAAGTCTAAACCTATCAAACCAAGCTCTTGGAAATTGCTTTAAACCATACAATGCTTTCTTGAGTCTACAGACTTTCTTCCTGTAAGTCAGCATCGAGGAAGGCATTCTTGACATCCATTTGGAACATAGGCCATGAAAAATTTGCAGCCAAGGACTGATCAGTTGTAAAACAAAGGCTGATCAGTTGTCAAACAACTGAAGCAAAGTATTAGGAGTCAGCAATTTACTGTCCCTACAGTTGATCCACCTACAACTGTAGGCATGGAAAAAGCTGTTATACAACCAGCTGCCCATCAATACGAAAGGCCACTTCGCGAGGCTCAAACCTTGCAGGAGAAATCCCCAACTGGGGGGAAATGCTTACAAAGAAACATGAAAATAAAACTTGTATTTACAAAACAAGAAATAGGGACACAACCCCCTACATTCCAAAATTCATCAACAACAGCATCAAGACATCGATACAAATA